GTGTACAGGATACTAATTCTAAGTACATCAGAAACTCAAACATAGCAGCTACTCCAAGATAGCCAAATGCCTTGAGTTTTAGAGCCAATGCCTTTTTTATTCCTCCTGGCATCTTCATACTATGGACTGTTGAATCTCCTATGCCTTTAACAACGACATGAGAAATTCAACAACTCATAGTATGGAAGTGCAGCAATGGAGAAAGCTTCACCTGCTTCACTTCTGCCTGTGACAGCTGCTAAAGGTACACAAATCTTACCAAGGAAAAAAAATTACCCGGATTAATGGTTGCATTCTAGAAGCAACACCATCCGAAGCAAGGTACATCTGGGGGATTTCATCCTCAGTCTGCGGGCATTTCATTAATAGCATCACCAGGACTCAAGAGAGAGGCCACAGGTAGGCCTTGCCTTTGCCCCTGAAGCTGGTTTCAACATCCCGGAACACGTGAAGCAAGAACGACTTGTCACTGAGCATGTGCAGAGTACGCTCGCAGAGAATCCCCAGCCACCCCAAACAGCAGCAACTGGGAGACTCTTATAGGCTCCCGTAAGACGAGGCGGGCTCCGGCGCATTTCGTGTTAGAAATGACCCACTGGAGAAGGAGGTGGCAGCAAAGCTAAGGAGCACTCGGGCGACAGTGGCCGATCATCGCTCCTCGCCTGTATTACATACCCTACCCCCTTCCACTCACACTCCGAGGGCTGTCCAAGACCAGCCCGCAATAGCGCTGAGCACTCTCCCTCCAGCCCGGCCAAAATCCCACGGCGACCACCTCCACGGCGTCCTCCGGGCTGCTCCCAGCAACAGCTACGTTTGCAGCAGCCATCTGACTGCGGCTCCGCTCAGCGGCAGCCGGCAGCACCGCCCACACGGTCTCTTCCTGTCCCGGGCGAAAAGGATGCACCACCGGCTGCCTTGGAGAGGGGGACAGGAAGAAACCACCGAGACAGCGAGGAGAGGGGTGAAAAGCCATAGCAGCAGCAAAAAGAGGTAGTGGTCTGAGTCTGTTTCGTGTGTAAGGCTGGACTCTTGAGTTCCATCGGGGGGGGCATGCGAATGGATGGGAAAGAGCCTGCTTCAGTGCGCTGGAAGAAGGGAGGAGGGCTATACGAATTTTCAGCTTTACAATTGAACTGAAGCTGAGACCAAAGACCTCGCTGACACAGAGAAAACTTTCTCCTCCCCCCCACCCCCGGCTCCGAAGCGAAGGCCGAGCCGCTCGGCCCTCGCGGCATTTTCTCTTCCCCCCGCGTTCCGTGCGCATGCGCACGGAACGCTCTGGCACTTTCGGGGGGATTTAAACATCCCCCCGAAATTTTCCCCAACATTTAGTATTTTTGTGCACACGTGGGGACTGGCCCACGTGTGCACAAACCTCCCCCGGCCCCCCAGCTGCCCCCGGAGCGCTGATTTAGCGATCCGCACTCCGGGGGCAACTTGGCTATTAGATATATAGATGATTTACATTTTAACATGGGCTTCCTAGGCCTGGAAATCATCTCCGGGGATTTGTGGCTAGAGAAGAATTAACCTTTTTTGTGACTCCACGAAAAGTAAAAGACGTTGAGTGGTTATCTGTTTGTGGTGCACCTCTGTTGCCTCAACAGAATACCACTGGATGCAAGGACTTCATATCATATAGCTAATAGCCCTTGCTCTATCTGTCCTTCATTTGCCCATTGCTCTTATTCAGATGTCTGAGATACTGGCTACAGTTGCATTTTATGCAAACAAAGTCAAATTTTTGCATGTGAAATACACTGGAACTTGCTGCTGCTCAACTTCACTGAAAAACTTGAGTTCTAAGGCAGAACAAATACTCACATAGTTTGTTTCTTCTGTTTTAATATGGTTAATGCTAGCCCTCGTGAGATTCTGCAGGCCAGGCAGAAAACAGTTTTGATTCCAATTATTGTTCAAACATTACAAAATACAATGCCTTACATCAGATGATCACACCGTTTGTCATTAATTAAAGCTTAGCTTCCTAGAAGCGGTGGGAAAGTATTAAGAGTATGCATTATGCAGAGCCACTGAGAGCTCAGAGGCCTCTGATTCTGATATGATCTGGTCTTCATAATGTTTTGTTTCCATCTCTGTGTTCTATCTTTTGAGAGGGGAACAGAGTTAATTCGGCGGCATTTGCATTTAACTGTCATTGCATGTAATTTCTTACATTTAGTTTGGGGTGTTGACTCTAGTACTGTCCTATTCGGTTTTGACAGAAGGGTCCCACCCACTTAACGCTGATGCAATATCATAACTCTGTGCCATGGATAAAGTTTGCTGTAGACCAGCCAAGTGTTCCGCTGGGCAAAGCAAACAATTGTTTTTGCCAATACATAGCATTTTCTCTACCTAGTCCCTTTGCAAGTGAACAGGGCCTCCATTTAAGAGATTTACTAAGATTCATGTTTAAGTTAGGCAACTGAGGATGTCATAGTGTATGGCTAGCGAGTAGACGTTACTGGTTTGCAACCAGAGAGAAATATTGTATTTCCAGACACTTAACAGGGGCTAAACATTTTGGCCTTCTGTATAGCCTTTCTTGGTTTCTTGGTTTCAATCAACAGGGATTTTTTGAAAACCAATCACTAGGGTTTTTCTGAATTTTCTTGAGGTTCGAATGCCAAGCTAGAGGTTCCATGCTCAGTGAAGAGTGAGCCTTTCGTCAAACATTGATGCAAATTGCATGGCGCCAGAAAGCATTTGTCTTTTCTTTTTTCTTTAAGCCCGAAACTATGATCACAGTTCAGACTGAGCTATGCAAAAGCCCTTAAGGCTGATTTTGAAGGGTCTAGGGAACTGTGCCATTGTTAGCCTGCAGATCACAGGTCAAGAAAGCTTCTATGCCCTTGGCGCAATGGAACTGCGTAATTCTTCATCTTGTCTGACTCATCTCAGAGAACCTCCCTAATCACACTGAGCTAAAGTTTAGGCAGAGAGTACCTTTTTCTATTGTGTCTGTAAGCCCTTCCCCAGCCCATGTGATGATAAACAAGGCTAGGCAGGGTACTTACCACTCGCTGTGGGCGGTGGTGGATTTATATAGAAGAAAGTACAGTGCACCTGCCCGTTCTAGCTCATAAATCACTTCTTCATAATTCAATTTTGTTACCATTTTGTTTGCAATGAAATGTCTACCTGTGTCCGTAATGGAACTTTGGGATTACTTCGATGAAGACCGTATACCGTGTGGAGGCTGAACCCCCAGTTCTTTGTAGACCTGTTGAATGTGTCTTGGCTCAAAAGAAAATGGACAACAGCATGGTTTATGAACTTGTGCAACAAGTGCTCTGTGAAGCCATGTGCATCCACATTGATCCAGGTGTTTTGGCTCTTTAATCCTTGGCTCAGGGGCAGCTTCTCCATTTTTGATCTCATCCAAGAGCTTAATCTAGCCTCTTGAGCCCAACATTTGCACGATATGGTTGCTCATTCCTCTGTACCCTTAATCATTTCCTAGCATTTATGTAGTGTCTTTAGACTGCTTCATATATGTGATCTCAGTGTTCCTTGTGCCAGTCTCATAAAGTAGGTTAGTATTATGGATATGGGTTAGGCTTAAATAGGAACAAGTTGCTGAAGGCAGAGGCAGGATTTGAATCGGAGATATTTTTTTTCAGATTACAGGTTCTTTTCTTTAGCTGCTACTTTCATACCTATGTTTTAATACCCTTGAGCAGCTAAAGTGTATAGGCATTTAGGGTAGTATTTCTGTGAGCAGCACACTATATAATATATGCAAATAACAGAACTAGAGCATCAACTTATGCCCATGCAAGACAAAACCTGGTTAGTAGACAATCACTTGCCAGGTTGTGTTTTTTTTTTTTTTTTTGAGCAGTCCAGTTCCGTGATGTTTAGAATTATGGTTGGATTTTTGCTGTAGTGCATGGCCACTTGTTTCACACAGCAATTTCACAATGTTAGGTTTTCAAAGTATGAGATGGGGTTCTCTGATGTAACTTATTATAAGGGAATATGCCGACTGCTTCCTGGTATATGGCCCATATTTGGTACATACAACAATTGACTGAAGCAGACAAAGTTCTATAGAGATGCCTCTCCAGTCTCTGCCTCACATGTCCCACAGGTGATTCTATGTCTCCACTTCTGGAATTGATGGACAGACCAAAGGAGCTAGCCACGCTTTGTCCCTCTTTTATCCATTTACTAGATTGTATCAGTCTGGGAGTCAGGTCTGCATTCTGACAAAGTTGTCTGAGAGTCTTAAATACATACCTAATGACCTGGGAAGCAAGGCTGTCCTTACTACATACCTATGCTTTACATGCGATAGAGTGGGGGGAGGTATGGCTAGGAAAAAGCTCTCTGGAGAGGGACTGGCTGACATTGGGTGGGGGTTTGGATGATGCCCTAGTGCTTGGGGGTGAGGGAAGGTGATGAAGGGAGCAGGCTGTAACTGTAGCAAGGAGAGGAGGGTTCTGGTTTGAGAGGCTTAAAGTAATCAAGTAGGAATGGGGTGGGATATGGGAGGTTGTACTGGGAACTAGCAGAGCACCATATCTGGTGGAGCACTGAGGAGAATCCCATTGGTCTAAGATGTACATTATCCAGGGTGGGAGGGACCTGAGAAGAAAAAAGAGGAGAGGAAGGGATTGAGTTTTGTGGTTGACTTCTAGAGTGGTGGTCATGGGGTACCAGTTTTTGACATAGCTAAGGGGCAAGGAAGGGCTTTGCTGTTCCCTTGTTGTGGGGAGTGGGGCAGGGTTGCTTGTACCCAAAGTTCGATAAATGCCACATTAATGGGATCAGAGGCTGTGTGAATGTGTGTCTTGACTGAGCGAGTGCGCAAACCAACACAATAGTTAACTCTGTGATTTTCCTAATCAAAATAGTTAGCTGCAGCCACCAGTTTTGCTGGAATACATACAGTGTTGAATAGAAAGTAGGCATAATCATGTTTTTAAGTAAACTGAAAAATAAATGAATGCATAATTTAGGAAGGAAACTTTTTTTTTCTTTTGCAGATTTGCAGATCAGCTCTCAAAATGTCTTCTGTGTCTTCCGTGTACCTTCCAAGCCACTTGCATTAGCCCTCCTGCTAGTTGACTAATAGAATTAATAACTTTAAAAGCAAAAAAAAATACAAAAAACTAACAAAAGCATTCTAGAGCCACATGCCTTATGAAGTCAATGCTGGGTATGATTTTACAAGTATGTAATCTATTTTTTTTTCAAGTGGAAATGTTAACTGGAAAACTTTTTGGCACGCCATAAAGCATTGTGCAATCTGTTATTTGTCTTAGAGATAACAATTGGAGAATGCCTATATTCTCACTGTGTCTAACATGACTTGCCAGTAGATAGTTTCCTCCATTTAGAAGTACTCCAAATGGGCTTTTATTTAGATAATATGTCTTCTTGAAAAATGATATTGATGCTGTACAAATACAGCAGAAAAGCATATCTGTCTTACGGGTCCGCTGCTATAGATACCATCCAATGAAATAGAGTATTTTTAGAAAAAGGCAAGCTGAGGGTGTGCGGGAGGGTTGGGGGGAGAAGCAGAAGAAAGGATGAGACTCCTAATGCTTTGCAAATGCTTCTTCCCATGTGAAATTGTTGACATTTCCCTTTTTCCATTAGTGTTTCTCAAATATAAAACGAGGAAGGGGGGGGGAAACGTTCTACCTTCTGTCCCACCCACCCCGCAACCAACCATCTGTTCCACAGCTGAACATGCAGACATTCTAATGCATGTGGGGATCTGTGGGTTGGGGCACTAATCCAACACTGGCGTTAGAAGAGAGACATCATTTGAATGAAGGAATAGCTCTTCCCAAATTGGGTTGGGATCATGGTAGGGATGCAGTCATCCCCACGAATCCAATCAGTGATGGTTTTCTGCCAAGGAATATGCAACCCCTCCAGTAAGGTTTTGTGGAGAAGAGAGATGGTTTCTTCTGAGAATCCTATCCCTCCTTGGGACTCCCCCCCCCCCCATCTTGAGAGTTTAGAAAGCACTATAAATTGCAAAATGAAAACCACTGGTAAGTGAAATTAGTTCTTTTGGACTTGATACATGATGATGGGTTGGTCCAGGCCATGAAAATCTGGAGCCTCGTGCAATTGATGATTGTCTAATGAAGTTTAGATTGGGAAGGATGTTAGTAGTAGCTGTCTCAGGATATCCATTTTAGATATAGCCTGCTTTTACAAAATGACATCCTAAGAACATAAGACGTCATAAGAACATAAGACGTCATAAGAACATAAGACGCCTTCTTAGTACTGTCCTCTCCTATTTATTTTCATAATCAAAAGAATAATTCCTAGATCTATGAGTTCAAAGGAGGAAGTTTATTTTTGTTTTCTTGGTCTGTATGTGTAGAGGGAATGCTCAAGAGGCTGTAGTAGAAAGTGAGAGTTCGCAGTACTCTGGGGCATACTGGCCTATATTCAACCATACATTAAGAACATGAGATCATAAGAGAAGCCACTGTTGGATCAGGCCAGTGGCCTGATTAGGCCAGTCCAACACTCTGTCACACAGTGGCCAAAAATACCAGGTGCCACCAGGTGGCACCTGATATTCCATAAAGTGTACTTATATTTATTTATTCCATAAAGTGTACTTATATTTTTTAAAGAAGGGGTGACAATTTCATCTGATTCCTCCCTCCCTCTTTACTTCCTAGGCTGACATTCAGGGGGAGAAAAATGTTGGGTGTGAGTGAGGAATTGGTGGAAATAACTACCCCCTCTTAAGAAAACGCGAGTGCCTTTAAGTCTTCAGAACTTAGTGGCTGGATACTGCACGGCAACCCTTTGGAATCCTTACTAGTATGGCTGGATCCACACATCGTTAGATATTGTGCTGCTGTTGTACTCCCACAGCTGCTCACCTCCAGATTGTCTTGTCCACACAGGAGGCAAAGGATTATAACACGATGATAGCACAATGTCCAGTGATGTTTGGATTTATTTTCTATTTTGCCATGTTCCTTGGTGTGTTCTTTCTTCCAATGACACCATTTACTGCATTTCAAAAAAAAAATTCAATATGGCATTGCTGGTAGATCGCAAAAAAAGAAAAGAAAAGAAATGCAGCAGGTCCTCTTGGAAGCCTGTGTAACAGAACCACCAACTAAAGGACGCTAAACCAACACAGTGAATAACAGACATAATATGTGACTTTGTTATTGACTGTAAGGGCGGGGCTGTGGCTCAATGGTAGAGCATCTGTTTGGCATGCATAAGGCCCCAGGTTCAGTCCATGGCATCTCCAGTTAAAAGGATCAGGTAGGAGGTGATGTGAAAGACCTCTGACTGAGACCCTGGAGAGCTGTTGCCAGTCTGAGTAGATAATACTGACCTTGATGGACCGATGGCCTGATTCAATATAAGGCAGTTTCACATGTTCATTTTGGTTTGTATATGTGGATCAATGTTATTATATACTGAACATTTTTTCGTAATGGTAGGTTTGTTCAGTACAATTAGATTTGTTATTCACCGTATTGGTTTAGGGTCCTTTTGTTGGTGGTTTTGTTACATGGATAGTCAAGGTTGCATTCTCAGTGATGACAGACTGTTTATTTTGAACTGCAAGAACACTAGATTCCCTGATGCTTTAAACCTATATTGTGAGAGGGAGGGACGATCTTTTCACAAACCATGTTGCTAAATTTAGATACATTTTTTTGGTAAACAAGTAATGAAATCAACAGCTTTTTATTCATTTTAATGTGTCTCCTCTGCAGCTTGATCTTATCCATGTTCACCTAGAAGTAAGTCTTACTAACTTCAGTGGGTTTTAGTGGGTTTTACTCTCAAGGAGGTGTGTCTGGAACTACAGACAGGGTTTTACAGTATCTCATGCAGGTTTTGCGTTCAGCAAAAGTCACTGCTCTTTTTTTTAAATTATTTAAGTGTTGGGTTTTATGGGGAGGGTGGCATAATATTAGATTTGAGCACTTATTTTTAAATCATCTTATTAAGCTCATCGGTCTCTTTTTGTGGTGTGTGTCTGTGTTTGCATTTTCAGATATGGTCCGGAAAAAGAACCCCCCTCTGAGAAACGTTGGTAGTGAAGGTGAATCCCAGACCCTCAAGTCGCCAGGGATTGGAAGTGACGATACTGAAAGGAAGCAAGAATTTTCTGCCGGTCAGATGCAAGAAAACGCTGAGCAGGGCGAGGCTGCGGAGCCAAGTGACAAGGAGGGGTTTTGCACGCACGTCCCAGAGTCATCTCCTAGCTCTAAAAAAGACTTGAAAAACGCAGCACCGGGTGAGAAGGCTGGCTTCAATTACGAAAGCCACAGTAAGGGAGGAAATGTTCCATCCTTCCCTCATGATGAGGTGACAGACAGAAACACGCTGGCCTTCTCATCTCCAGCTGTTAGGGGGACCTCAGAGTCCTTGAAGTCTCCCGTCAGATCAGACGCAGATGACACCCAGGATGTGGCCTGCGCCCCGTCGAGAGATCCGTCGGAGAAAAGTGAAGAGCATCGCACATCGCCGAAAGCTACAGTTGAAACTGCGCATGCGCAGAGTGGTCCAGCCGAGTGCTCAGGCTCAAGCCCGACCTCGGTGGCCTCAAAGAACCCACAAGTGCCTTCTGACGGGGAGTTAAGGCCAAGCAAATCCAAAGCAGATTTGTTGGCAAACGAGAACCCAGATACGGCGCCTCTGTCTCCAGAACTTCAGGACTTCAAATGCAACATCTGTGGCTACGGTTACTATGGGAATGACCCCACAGATCTCATCAAACACTTCCGCAAGTACCACCTAGGGCTGCACAACCGCACCAGGCAGGATGCGGAGCTTGACACTAAAATTCTGGCTCTCCACAACATGGTGCAGTTCAGCCACTCCAAAGACTTCCAAAAAGTCAACTGTTCTGTTCTGTCAGGGGTCCTTCAGGACTTTAATTCCCAAAGGCCTGTCTTGCTCAATGGGACTTATGATGTGCAGGTTTGTACCTTGAACTTCCATACCTCCCCTGTATGTTTTTACTGTCGTGTTCTTAAAGCTTGGGTAGTTAAAGGATCTCCATAGATTGCTGCAGCCACGAAAGTGCTAAGAGCCCTTCTGCTTGCCTTAGTTACTCTTTTGCAAGCTGCGAAGCTATGGTTATGCAGAGGCAAAGTCAGGTTTACAAATAAGTAAGCACCCAAGAATGAGCGGTGGTCAGCTCCAGCTTCACACATGCTGTCAAGGATTTGATTTCCACGCTTAATTGTTTATTTTTATTTATTTATTGAAGACATTTATATGCCACCTTTCTACCCAAATAGGGTCCCCAAGGCGGCAAACATCAAAAACAGCATTTAAAATAAGGTTTATATAAAATATTTAAAGCATTCATTGAAATGATATAGATCTACAAACACAACACAACCAGGAAGGAGGGCCAGTAAGAGTGACTGGGTTCAAATCCTCATTCTCCCATTAAGCTCTCTGGTACTCTTGGGCCAGTCACCCTGTCAGCCTACCCTACCTTGCAGGGTTGTTATGAGGATAAAATGAGGTAAGGAGATAGCCATATATATAATCAACAACTCCCTTCAGGAAGAGTGCAATAAAAATGTTCCTGACAGGCGCATTCTTGGCGCCAGACTGAATGCAAAACTTTTATCAAATATGAACACTGCTATCTTTAAGAGTAATTTCAGAGAATAGCTTTGTCGGCCGGGGTATAAGCATTCAAGAGTCAAAGGCTACTATCTGATGAAGGGATTTTTGACTCTTGAAAAGCTTACACCCTGAAAATCTTGTTGGTCTCAAGGTGCTACTGGAGTTGATTCTATCCTTAAGAGTAGCTTCCTTCCTAAAATAAAAAGTCCATGAATTATGGCAGTACTTACTGGTCCAGAGTACCACCTCCTGGAGGGGGGACCCTCTCCCAAGTCCCAAGGGTGGGGGGAATTGGTGAAAATCAGTGCAAATTTATATACGAATACCAGCAACTCTTTAAAACAAACAAACAAACAGCAAAACTGCTCCAACACATTAATTAAGGAACCCAATACAGCTCGAATTTGTGTTGACAGTGTCTCGGTGAAATCAGTGGAATTAGTGAGTCATGGCTAATTCCCCCCCCCCTTTGCATTAACATTAGGACTTTGACTTTATAGCTAATTAAGATGGATCAGGGCCCATATCTTTCAAGTATACAACTAAAAACTAAAAACTAAACTTGGATGTAAACTGTAACACTGCTTCCCCCGCAATGATGGTGGGGAGACCTGAGGTGCTTAAATGGTAAGCAGCGTGGAGCCCCCGTGGCGAGATTCCCTTTTTAGCTATTCTAGCTTATAAACAACTGCTTGCTGTATTGTGTTTCAAAAATGCAGATGCAGATATGGTTAATCACATCTTTAAAACACACACACACACACACGCACATGAGAAATAACCCCTTTGAAATGGGAAAAAAAGGATCTGGATACTAAATAGACATCCTGATCTTTGATGGTTTTTTGCTTTTCCTATTGATTTTTGATGGGGCAGGGAACATTATGTCTTCAGGACAAGCAGTGTAAGTGATCTGCTGCCAGGGCTATAAGACTTACATTTCCGGATAACAAAAAGCCACCCGAGTGTTATGAAAGTAATATTCCATAATAAATCCTAGCACACATCATCAAAATAACAGTATGCCTATAGATGTGGGCCTGGGCTTTCTCTTAGGCACGGTGTCTGGTTTTTCACAGCTTTGCTCCTGCTTTCTGAATGTTGGGGCACTTTATGGAAGAGAGTTAGGTGGGTTTGGAATGTATAAAGTTGTATAGATTTGCTGAATTTCTCAGCTGGATTTCCCAGCAGAATTCCTATCACTTTGCAACACTCACCCTTTCTTGACTCTCTGCATGTCCCATGCAGGTTGGTGGTTTGTGTAACAAACACAAAAGGTGAAGCGTTTCCCAGCTTGGAGATGTAGGGATGGGCTGTGACCCGGCTGATGCGCGTCTGCTGTGCATGGCTGTTAAAGGTGCGGAGGAACACCCTGTGAACAAGGTGGCAGTCCTGATGCTATTAATTGCTCAGCGCTGGCTCCGGTCTCGAGCATTTTTCCATTATAGAATACCTAGAGGAAATAAACCAGTTTCACCCATTTCAGCTATAAAATCCTCCTCCCAATCCCTAGATTTTATTTGCGGAGAAGTCATTAATCATTTATTTTACATAAAGGCTTCAATCTTTGAACTACAAGGATAATTTTATGTCCTGTGTCAGGCGGTCAGAGCTGTTGCATTGTGATTGGAATGCAAACCTGTGAGTTAGGTGAGGGGTTAGGGAAGTAAGTGGATAGTTTCTGATTTGAAATGATAGGGTGCAGTTTCTGCACCTGGCATTCCCTTGTGTACTTGGCTGCATGGTAGGCACTTAAGGGCTCATATGGACAGTTGTATTGGGACAGAGATCTGTAGTCAACCCATTTTTGTTGATGGGTTAATTCTGTAATTTGTTATTACTGTAATAATAGGCATAGGGTCACCAGGCCACCCGTTATGGCAGGAGGCATCCTGATCATCGTCTCTGTTGCCTTCTGCCATTATGAGCGGTGGCAGGACTTTTTTTTTTTTTTTAAAGCACTGCTGGCTTCTGCAGCAGTACAGCACTTCTGGGTACAACCTGGAAGTGACAATGGGTAGATCTAGGAATCACCATAAACTCTATGGTTAGAGAAGAAGAGGAAGAAGCAAAAGAATTGGTTTTATACCCCATTTTTCTCTACCTTAAGGAGTCTCAGAGTGGCTTACAATCACCTTCCCTTTCTTTTCCCGCAACAGGCACCTTGTGAGGTAGGTGGGGCTGAGAGAGTTCTGAGAAAACTGTGAGTGGCCCGAGGTCACCTACCAGGCTTCATGTGGAGGAGAGGGGAGTCAAACCCAGTTCTCCAGATTATAGTCTGCTGATCTTAACCACCACACCACTACCCATTGTCACTACTGGGTTTTAACTGGAAGTGACACCGTGACTTCAGCGAGGTCACTGACATCACGTACCTTCCCCGTGCCCCTTCCCCCCAACCCTCCCATAATCCTAACCATGCACATTGCAGTTATTTCTTTTTAAACTTAAAACAACGAAATAAAACCCTCTGCCTAGCTAGGGGTGGAATAGGGCCATAGTACATCAAAATTCCTCTTATCAGGCATCTAAGAAATCTGGTTGACTGTGGGACAAGAGAATTAAGACCTCTTATAGAAGATACTTAAAATCAGGAAGTAGAGGGAGGAACAAATGGGTGGTTTTCACAGTTAAGGGATTAAAGGGAAAAAAAGGGGGGGGGGGGGAGGCCCAAGTATTCATACGCAGAGCAGTACTTGTGGATTTTTTCATAAATGGTCTGAAGACAGGTGAAACAGCAAGGTAGTAAAGATGTCAAGTGAAAGCAAATTATTTAGGAGAACAGAAGATCCCAAGAAAACATTTCCAAACTGTTGAATGCTTTTCTTTCCTGAAACCTTAAACCTTACCTCTCAGTGATCTGGGGATTATCTCCTAGCTATTTACATCATGGATGAAACATTACCAGGCCATTCTGAGCCTCCATATCACAAGGGAAAGGTCAACCAGCAGAGCTCTGGTGTTACTTTTTAACCCCCGAACGGTAAACAACAAACATCAGCACGGACATCACTTTCACTGTCGAAGGTTCGGCTATATGCACAGCAGCTGTAATTTCAGCCTCTGAGTTCAAAGAACCTATATGAACCACAAATGTTCAAGTTAAACTCCTGATACTCACCACATACTCATTAAGGGGGAGCAGAGGAGGAATAACAGAAGTCAGGTGGGAAGGGTGAAGAGCTGAAAAGCAGAATGGATTAATAAATATCTTCTATTTAGTAGATCATCATGGCAGAGACAAAACTTAATTACCATTTTTACAAGGCAATTCAACAGAGTTGTCAGTTTGGGTTTCAGTGTTATGAGAGCTTTCAGTTTGTTTGAAAGAGAGCACTTTCTTCCACAGTCCAGGTACATGTTATCTGCTCTGCCATGAAAATCATAAGTTTTTGGGTTTTTTTAAGCCCCCAGAGGGGATTTTTTATTTATTTTTTATAATACTACATAAACTACCAAGAAAAATTTGGGGATGGGGGGACTACAATTAAGGGAGAAAGAAAAGATAACCCACACTAAGCTAAAAACCCAAGTTTAGGAGATCATTCCCTGTTAAAATACTGTTAGTAAAAGAAAAGGCTGTTAATAAACAATATACTTTGTGAGATCCTATCTTTCTAAGCTTATATGTTAGATTGTTACTTGTTATGAGAAGATTATCAGTTTAATGGGGAGCATAATTTTGTCTGGTGAGTAAAGTTGTGGTAATGGTCTTTCTTTATTTCTTTTAACATTTCCAGTGAAAGATCTAAGAGGAGTACTTGAGTATTGACCTGATAAAAATGCCAGGGTTTTTCCACAGTTGTTGAAACCAACTGGCTATTGCAGTTCCATAGGCAAGGCCTGGTTCTCTCTTTTTTACTCTGATTGCAGTGCCTCACACATCTGGAATATTTCAGTGCTTGACAACAGGTCAATGAGGCATTCTGTGAACCCATTCACAAGAACAGGGTCCTTGAGGATTTCTCGTGACTTGCTGGCAGGAAATCACTTTGTGGTGCAAAACTGTTGGTGTCTCTGTAAGTAATGTGATATAAATGATAAGGAAAAGAAACACACTTTAAAAAAAATTGGGAGTATAATTTATGTGGTCTGTAGAATAGAAAACAACCATTTCTAATCAGAATGACAGTTCCAGCAAATATTGCCATTTAATGGTTTGGTTAACTTACCAATGAAGATGGTGGTAGAGTTTTGATGAAAAAGAACAAGATCATTAACCTTTGGGTGTTCATAGTAGTGTGAACATCATGGGAGAAATATAAACAATGGAAAATCTCCTGATTTTTTCAAAGAATCCTTTGAGTAACTGATCCAGGCTGTTGAGTAGATCTCCT